CGATCGGAAAAAGCGACTGCTTTTCCAATATAAAAAGACTCGGTTTTTTTCGTCTCCATTGAGAGTTTTGTTTTTTAATTATCTATAACATTGCCTGTCCGTCATATGAGAGTTATACGCGCAGTTTCCTCTCACATCTTTCCTTTTCTTATATCTTTCCATATGTGCGTGATGCGCACGAGCGCAGAAGGGTTATCCTCCCTCTCATCCTTATCATTTCTATCATGATATTTTATCGATTACGGTCGCTCTCTTACGATATAACCGGTACTTTTTTTTCTCTCCGCTTTGAAGCCTCTTCTTATGTGAGGATGAACGGAGAAGAAAAGAAATTGCGCACGCTTTCCTTGCTTGGCCTTTCTCTCTTGTTCCTCATTTACTCGACCTCTTCTTTTCAATCTCTTCTGTTTCTTTTGTCGAAATACTTGGGTCCATAGATTTCGTAATTATCGTGAGCAAATGCTTCGAGGAATCATATCTTTGTGTTCTAGAATATTGATATTCACATATAATTGCTGAATGCAAATTATTATTACGCTCAATATTATTAGCGGAAAAGACAATGTTTATAATAATCTTCATGAAATAGTTAATGAGACATTTTCCGCTCGTCGATCACTAAGAATATTATAGGTTTTCGGATTGATTGCGATAGTCTACTCTTAGAAGAATAATTTTACACTCGTGATAATACTTTGTGCGGCAGTACCGCATAGAAAAACAGCTCGCTATGACTTCAAATACGAAATCAATTATAAAATACCATGTAAGGCCCTCTCTATTAAATGGCATTCCACTGGTCGAATCAAGTTTGTCACGGATGAGGAATGATACAATTACTTCGAGTATTCATCCGATCAAAATTCTGAGAATAAATTAACATTCTTTACTCCTTATAAAAAATAAATACGATTAAAAATAAAAAATTGCATAGTAATGATTATATTATATCCACATAATAATTATTAATATCTAATTTATGGTAAGTATTATTAATTTGTATCTTGTTCAACAAAGATCGATATACAAATCTTATTCAACGAAGAGCGATATACAGTCGATTACTATTTAGCATATAATTATAATTTCAGAAGTCTTTAATTTTTTATCAATTTATATTTAATTCTCACAAAAATCAAGACTTTAATTTCTGATTCACGAAACGCAATTGTAAATCATATTTTATTTGAATAATGTCTTAGTTTATTAAGATTTTTTTACAAACTACATACTAATCGAATATTAATTAATACACAGCACCTTTTTAAAATAAAAGTTTAATTCAAATAAGTTATATTTGTAATAAATGTCATTACTTTTATAATTAATTTGTATTTAATTAATTTAATGATTGATTATATGTTTTTCTTAATTTTTTTGTAATAAATTCGTTTTTTATATGTGTATGCAAACTATACATAGATAAAATCCTAATTAATTGCTATTTTATTCATGTACATAAATTTAGACAAATGAGAATTGCAGTGTATTATTTCATAAAAAATGTACATTAAGTATGTCCCACCCGCCAATTTCAACAGCCTATATTAATTCGTAAATAATAAAATGTCAAACGAATTTATGCAAGTAATCTTGTTGCTGAAATCACTTAATGGCTTATCTGTCATCAGGTAAAAGCGTGAATAATTCCTATAGAAGCATATAATATATGTACAGGAATTTAACAAAATCAATTTTTTAATTAAAAACTGCATAGCAAATCGGATAAAATAGCGGTAAATTAAACTTAAACTTAATTAAACTTAAAATTATTCTTTTCATATAAATAAATAAATATCCGAGAAGGACAAAAATTTGGGTATGCACACTGAGAGAAATGATTTTGTTATAGGAAATTAAGGGAAAGCAAATGTAATATTTGTTTAAAAAATGATCTATTTGTTACGATTGCAAATTAATTCGTCAATGTAACAAATAATCAATAGTATCGTTAACAAATAAGAGATTCAGTAGACGCAGGTCTCAAATCGTAAGAAATTGATCAATTCTAGTCAAGTATTCTCCCTATATTAGACTGTGCTTGGTCGGTTTTCTACAACTTAAGACTCCACGATCATCTACGAATTCTATGTAAACGAGCTTAAAATCTATCCAAAAGATGAGTTAGATTCTATACATTTTGCTTCGATTATTAATAATTGGTTGGAATAGCAGACTAGCAGCAACTATCACAACAAAATTTATTGTCATTTACCGTATTTACCGATCACCGATTAAAGGTACTGGTGACTCGTTAAATTAACAAAATCCTTTCTCTCTGTGCAATACATTCGTACTATTTATGAACGCTGGCGCAAAATTATTTTTAATGAGTGTAAAGTTTTATACTAATTGAAAATATAGTTGTTTCATTAATTATCTTTTTAGCACAAAATGAGCAAAATTAACAAACTCCTATCTTAATCAATTAAATAACTCGCAGGATTGTAATTGATTCAAATTTAATTTGAATAATGTGAGAGCGTACGTCATGATATATCTTCTGTAATCGAGAAATGCACGAGTTATAGTTGAAATTATTTTTTACAGCGCAACCCTCTCGCGTGCGATAATCTCATTTATAGAAACAGAAACGTCTAGCAATAAACAAAACCATAATACTTTTAAGTATTTTGAAATAGTGGAACAGTGCCTGGTATTTAACCAAACGCGAGGGCTGCTCTGGAGTATTAACTTATGGAACAGAAATAACAGCTTTCTCTCCCTCTCCCCTTTCGCAGAGAAACTAAAATAAGCCAGGAAATGCAGGATTGTCTGCAACATATGTGGCCGGGTATACCTGATAGAGTGCTTTTCGCGTTGGAAATTTCTATAGGCGAATATACAGTGCGAGATTAGAGAACACGCGTATTTATTTGGCCAACATCGCAAATTATTTATTCGGCATAAGCCTATAACCTTTTGTTTCGCAATAATGGAAGTAAATTTCTCGAGTTTGAAATTCAAGAAAGATATCAGAATGTTGATAAATTATTTTATTTTTTTATACGTATTGGAATCGTGCAAATAACGAACTTTGTAATATTACTACATCGGCATGAAGATACTTGTTAAGAGGATACGCCTTTTAACATGCAATAAACAAAGTAATAAACAAATTAAGTGCAGCTAATATATGATTCGAAGAAGACATTTCATTAGAACCTATAACTTGCATGGAAAAGTTTGAAAAAATTGAAAAAGCAAATAAATGATAAAGCAGCCAACAAAATAAATTAATAAATAGATGAAACGAAAAACATTTCTTTGCCATTTGTTTATGTAAATGTACGTAAATAAATGAAATAAATAAAGCAATAAATAAGCGAAGCACAAAACTTATTCCTTATATTTTCATAAAATACAAAATGTAATTTTATTCGAAAACAAGTGCAATGCTAAATCTCGCACCGTTTGCAAGTGTAAAAATCATTTGCGCTGGTTAAATTTTAAATTTTGATAAGTTACACGCGTATTCCATGTACAGACTCGGAAGAATGTATACATAGAACCAAAGGAATTAACATAACCCATTGTCCTATCGAGCTAGTTGAGATGCTAGAAAGATGGCATCTATATATATATATATATAAAAGCTTGTTACTTGCTAGTAATCCTTTTTAACTACTGCAAGTGAAGTGCTGTTATAATCGTAAATTGAAAGCAAAGACACTATATGTATACATTTCCATGACTCACGTAAATATTATTACATGTAATAATTCATGTTGTAACATAATTTAATTAGAGTTTCCGTGATGTTTAAGTCACTATTAAATATTATAACAGGAAAGCATTGTCTGATAGCTTAACACGAAATAGATAGAGAAAATAAATAAAACGAAAAATAAATAATAAATGCACTTCTCAGGCAATACAATAAATGTTTATATTATACATATGCAAAGAAGTAAAATAAAAGAAAGAGAAAATAGATATATTATATAATCGTAGTAGATATTATGGTAACAGTAAAAGTTATGATTGCTATACTATTAGATCACAATATTATGCGGGCAGTTATTATAAAATATCATTAAAATTATCATTAAAAATAATTATTCTAATCTGTTAGAAAACAAATAAAATAAGCAATATATAATAAATAATAAGCTAACTAAAAGTGTTCGAATCTTTGATAAATGTCAGTCATGAGGAGACACATATGTCGTCAATCTGCCCTTCGTGTCTCTCTCAGGACTCACGAGACCATCTCCTGTTTCTCAACATGTGCAAATTGTGCTTGTTGGAATAAACGTTTGCTGGCGAGCAGAGATGAAAACTTTTCTGAAACGGAATTTTCACACGGCTAATGATCAAACCATGTGAGAAAGTACGCATTCAAATTGTGACGAGAATTTCATGAATCATTTTGCGAATGAGGGTGCAAACGCGGATATACGTATTCGTGTATATGTATGTATATACCAGTTACATATCAATATCAGTTCTTGATAATATTGCTATATCTTTAAGTGATCTCGATTTGCCTCAAAGAGTGAGGTAAATTAGAAAAGAAGTTAAAAGGGCTGTGAATTATATTAACATAATTCTTCATTATTTCAAATAAACATTCTCTATACAACATAATTATTAATTACGTGTTATAGCTTTAACAGGAACGGCGTGATAGAAAGCAAGCAAGAACCACCTCACTCTTTAATTAAAACTCCCTTTAAATGGTTTCGTAATTGGGTACTTCCGTGCGCTTCATAAAAACGGGCTAAACGAAAATCGATTCCCAGCCTAAGAGAAAGAAAGATAGGGAGACAGAGAGAATAAGAAAGAGAGAGAGAGAGAGAGAGAGAGAGAGAGTTGAGAATTGAGAGACTTGAATTGAAGAAAAAGAAAACCAAGACGAACATTTAGTGTTCTTTATACCTACACGGTGATTGAAGAATGCGTTCAAAAATTGCAGATGTGAAAAAACGGAGTATAATGAATTTGATGAATGAAATGAAAACTAACAGAGACGAAAACAGAATTTTTTAATAACTAACCACGTACTCCTGACGTTCGTCATGCCTGCTGAGAATGAGCCTTGAGACGTATGTGCAGAAATCAGAAAATTCCTTTTCGCGCACTGTTGAGAAAGGAGCCGAAGGAGCGATAACGCGCACCACCTCCACGAACGGGAGTCGGCCACTGACTGAACGTGACTCCGATTCTCTGTGGAACCGGGAGGAGGCTGCGTCGGCCGGTCATGGACCACAGGCCTACGGCCTTCCGATACTGAGGTACGGCAAATTTTGCTTTTGTCCCCTTATCTCACCACGCGCGGTTTCGTATCTCGTTAAATTTTTGACTGATGAATCCATGACATATTAAAATCTCTGCCCTTCAAATTAAATTAAAATATATGGTTACTGTTATTTTTAAAAAACCTCTATAAACCTATCGCAGATTTAGAATTTATAATAATCACGATTATGTAATATAAATGTTTTAATGCTTATAGTTACCATAGCAATTTTTATTATCACAAAGAAAAAAGATTTACATAAAGTATACGAACGATAATGTGACTTTAATATATAAATATGCGTATGAATGAATTATACGACATTGATTTCACATGAATGAAAAAGACAATGGTAATCTCTATCTTTTTATTTTTTAATAATAGGATTTGATAAGAGCAAATAAGTCGTTTTATTCGAATATACGCATGTATCATTTCTGAGATTAAAATTAGATAAAACAAACATAATAACGCGCTGAAATTAATATATATTTAAATATCAAATTAATTGCATAATTAATCTTTTTGCTCTATGAAAAATAATAAATAATAAAAAATAATAAAAATAATAAAAAATAATAAAAAATAGAGTATAATAAATAATAGAGTATAATAGAGAATAATAAAAAATAGAGTATCAATTATTGTAATTTTTATTAAACTAAATTTAATTGAAACGTTACTTTTAATTTTTTATTTTTGTACTGCTGACATAATACAAATAAAGAATAAAATAAAATGTATCTATATTACTTCTTCTTCAAAAGTTGTTTATTCTGATATTTTACATAACTTGAAAAGAAAATTATTTTTTATGAGATGCGTAAAATGTATCTTTTACACGTTATTTTATGCACGAGCATAATGAACGCTAACGTAACATAGCCAAACGACTTTTTAGATTCTAATATAAACCGTTTAGTAACGCACATTTATAAGGAAAGATTGAAATTTTGTGATTTTTTTAAAATTCATTTATTCATTCATTTATTTATTTAAACGATGGACGTCTTAATGAAGAATGAGTTGAAGGAATAAGTGATTTGTGAGCGATGGACCGATGCGCAATGACATATAGAAACGACAAATGAATAAAGTAAAACGCGTTTTATAACTCAAATAGTAAGTGGCGTTACTTCTCGTATAACAAATACACATGAATATCACATTAATAAAGTCAGATTGATACGAAACAAAATTTATGTCAATGTTTTATATCTGTATATAACATAATTGTTGAAACAAATTATTTTTTATTGCTGTGTTAAATACATTTGCTTTTTTTCCATGTATAGTGCCGTGTAATTACCACCAAATAAATTAGACTGCACTTTATAGGATGATATTACCGGAGTTTCGAACAATTTTAAGACGGCAGTAGTGAAATTTACAGTATAAGATCAAGTATATATACATATATATATATATATATATACACGTAAACTTGCACATTTCACATTAAATTATTACAACAATTGCAAAAGTAACTGACTGAGAACAGAATATACTGGCTATTTTGAATAAAACGACTTTGAATTGCATATTATTTAATGAGAATCATCTTTCAGGTACTTTATCCATGTGAGTTCCAATATATTAAAGTGCACTATTTATCAAACAATTTTTATTAGATAATATGTTATAAAATATATGACTACCTATACATATGTTATACAATAATAGTAAAAATATACTTTATTTCAACTGGACAGGAGCAATATAAAAAATTGATTGTCTAATTAAAATAATTTAAGTACCACATTTATCTTATCGATTTACTAGAAATAAAAAAATGTTATTCATTATATATAACTTACCTTGAAAGACGATAGCACATGATGAACAGCTTTTCCGTTCTATCCACAGGATGCCAAGAGTTCTTATTTCAACACAACGCTAGTTCTGTTTCTTGTGACTGTAGAGCGAGACCTAAAGACCGTACGACACGGAAGCCGGTCCTCACGAAAGAATGCGCGCGTACAACTCACGGGAGAAAACTAACCGAAAGAAGCGCGGAACTTGGAGAGAGAACCGACCCCTGATATGAGCTGCTTTCGGTTGGTGTGGGTGTGAAGAAGAGAGACTAACGAAGAATGATGATATGAAGGAAAGAGAAAAGGGAGGAGAAGAGAAAGAGAAAAGAAGAAAAAAAATGAAAATATAGAGGGGATGAGTAGGACTGGTAAAAGACGACGCGACGGGGTGGTCGAGAATGGAATGGTTGAGAGAGAGAGAAGGGGGAAGGGGGAAGGAGGAGGGAGGGAGGGAGGATGGAGAGAGAGAGAGAGAGAGAGAGAGAGAGAGAATGGTGGGGACTCATTCATACTCCAACGCCCCCGCAAATTACGAGCACTAACTCTGGCACTCGTCTATATTCGAAAAGCTACCAATGCCGCTTGATTAACAAATTTATCGTTCTTCGCTCTTCTTTAAAAGCATTGCCAAGGTGAAGTATGTAAAGAAACTTTGAGGAAAATCCCGGGAGAAAATCTCGGAAATTATATTTTCGCTTACTCTCTTTTTTTTTTAACACATATATCAGAATTCATAAAAAATATTGAAATTCTTATATAAAAAGAAGAAACTTTAGACAACCATCAAAACTTCTATACAAACTTTTATACAAACGCGATTTTATATAAAATTTTACAGATTATCTAATTCTTCTCTTTTAAGAATTTTTTAATTAATCTTTTCAATTAAACGTATTGTTCTTGAAAGTGTTTCTTAAAACTGCAATAATTTTTAATTTATAAGTAAATAAAATTTTAGAAATAATTAATTTTTGAAGAATTAATTATTAAGAAGTATTAAATTGTAAATTATATCAAATAATAGCTGCGGTATATATTTGCAGTAAATACATTTTACTTAAAATTAGTTTAATGATAATAATAACGTCTTAATATGTCATCTTGATAAAATAATTTTCATACTAAAGTAAGAAATAACATTTTATTAACATTAATATTATATTTGTGTCTAATTAAAATATTTAGTTTTAATTTTTACTTTAAGAACACGCATTATATTGACACTTGACATATTGTAATGGTAACTATATACGTTAACCATATAATATCGAAAAATGAAATGGCTGAGGAAAATATCACGATTGTCGTCTATCGGACTATTACGCTATCCCATGCACGAATGAGAGTCGAATTATTCGAACTCGTTTATCATAGTTATCGGTTGAAAATCGCATCTGCGATAGACGCTCATACATTAACGGCCTTTTGTTAATTAACGCATCTGGCCGTCGAGCGAACAATGCGCGTCAAACTGCAGTGGCTATTGAATTTCGGCGATTCGGGTAATCCGTTCTGCTCCGAATCCGTCCGTCTGTCCGTCCGTCCGTCCGATACATGCCAACCTGGGTAATCATGCGTTCACGTTTTATTAATCGGCATACCATTTTGTTAATTACGTGGCATTATGCAGCGGCGAAGTGCGAACATTACATCCGTGGGATGATGTGTGATACGTTCGTCCAATACCACCTGTTATAACTCTTGAAATTATGAAATTCTGAACTATATCCAATCCAATGTTTGAAACTTGCCACGTGTTCAACCGTACCTTCCGGGTACGACGCAGCCATAATTTCAACTTGTTGACGATGTAGCAACGAATTGTAATTAAAGCCGCACGCATTATACGTGATCATGACTGTATATTCGGGCTGTAATATTGATAGAAAATTTCATATATGAGAGAATTTATAAATAAAAAGTTATTAATTTGTGACGTTAAGTTATAATTTTAATAACAGATTTATTAATATAATTTTATAATTATTAAAACAAAAACTTATTGTCATAACTCCATTATGTCCTTAATATTTATTCTCCAAAACCACTCTTCAATTTCATTTCTACAATAGTTCTTTAGACATTAGTGTCGTATGTATATGTATATATAGTTAGATACTTAGAACAAAGAATAATTTTCAAGAACGATATTTTATAAAGACATTTATTTTTAGACTTGGTACAGAACAAATACTTTTTGTCAGTGTATCTGTAACGTTAAAAAATTATAAATCTATTTCCTATGTAAACGTGTATATGCCAATAGTAAAAAATATAATTAATAAAATAAAATGTAAGATGTGTTTCATCTCATAATTCAATAATTATATAGGTAAATTTGTAAGCTAAGATAAAAACTTTTATCATTATTTTTAAAGCTACTTTTAGCATCATAAACTTTCGGAATTTTTTAATTTCAAGAAATCTTAACATTTACAGTTGCAGCGGTTTTTGAAGACGAGACACGTGTTCTATGTGGTAAAAGAAAGGTGGGCGTCAAAGGAAACAGCCAGTGACCTCGAGAAGTGTCCATCATATTTAGGACACCCGATAGACGATAAGTATGCTCCAGGATGCAAGCTGATAGAAACTGTGCGCGTGCGATTCATCTTTATTGAGTCATATTATTCATTCACATTTTCCTTTTAATTTACTTATTCAGAAAATTATCTATGGAATAATTTTGTCATATAATGTTGTATCATATAGTATAATGCAGATGCAGAATGCAGAAAAAGAAGAGAAAGTATAACCAAAGTATAACTGATTCAAATATATAAAAATATTTTAAATTCAAAGAATTGTATACAGATTTTTTTTCATTATTAATATTATATTTACGTATGTATAGTAAATTCAATAATATACTGAATAAAAATGGAGCTTTCTTTTATTAATATTAAATTAAACTATTTTCAATTTTCAAATATTTTTTCAATTGTTTTGTATAGCTTACAGCATCTTCACTCGGAAATGGGTTCTTATACGATAGGAATGCGTAGGAGACGTTTATCTCAACTATCGTTCTATCTACTTTTGACAAAGCTGATTAAGCATTTTTAGCAGTGTGATGTGTTGA